CTCCCCGCGCGGCCCGGGCTTCGCTCCGTCGCTCCGCTCCGTCGCTCCGGGCGGGCGACCCCCCGAAGGAGCCTCGGAGAAACTTACAGCCCCCGCGCGGCCCAGGCGTCGGAGACGTTGGCGAGGAACGCGGCCCGCTCCGCCGGCGGGAGGAGGAGCCCCGTCGTGCCGTGGACGAAGAACGCGTCCGCGGGCGACTCGAAGGGCCGCGACGCGGCGTTCGCCGTGAGGAAGCTGCCGACGTAGTTGAAGGCGTAGCCGAGGTCGGCGAGGGGCGCCTCGTAGGCGACGCGCATGGCGTTGAGGAAGCCCTGGTCCCAGTGGAGCGCGCGGTCGAGCGGGACCGCGGGCAGCCGCGCGACGAGCGACGCGTGCGCCCAGCTCGCGACGACGACGCCGCTGTTGAACCAGCGGCCGTCGCCGGGCCGCTCGACGCCGTAGCGCGCGCGCGCGAGGTCCAGGGCCCGCGCGGCCTCGGCCTCGGGCCGCACGCGCGCGTCCTCGACCGTCGCGCCGACTGCGACGGCGGGGACGAGGCCGAAGACGTCCGGCGCGTCGGCCCGCACGGCCACCGTGTCGTCGAGGAGCAGGACGCGGGACCAGTGCGCCAGCGCGTCGCGCAGCGCGACGAGCTTGTGCCGCTTCGCGCAGACGTCGAAGGTCGCGTAGTCGCCTGCGCGCGGCGGTGTTTCGGGCGGGCCCCGACGGTAAATACGCGGGCCGGCGCCCGTGTCGACGCACGACGACTCGCGGACGACCACGAGGTCCGCGTCGACGCGGCCCGCGTAGGCCTAGGGAGGGATTCGCGTTCGCGGCGACGCGCGCGCGAGATTCGCTCTCGGTCGGTTTCTTCTCGGGGAACGTGTGACGCTGCCAAAAAGACGGCCATCCGCGGCAGGAGGTGCGCGGTCCAGGGCCTACGAGGCACGACGGTCACGCGGGCGTCGGCTCGGAGGACTCCGGAAGGCGACCGATCTCCCAGGCTCGCGACGACGACCGCGCGCCGCGCGAGGCGGCAGAGGTCCGGCGCGTCGCGCAGGAACGCGGCCGTCCCCGCGCCGACGGCACCTACGACATGCGTCGGTGACGGCCTTTCCCGGCCAGGTTGGACGCCGGACCGAACCCCCGGCCGCCGCCGCGAGCGCGCCGAGGCGCGGCGCGACGCCGTCGACGCGGACCGTCGCCGCCGCGCAGACGCCCGGCGGCGGCGCGTCCGCGAGCGCGCGCGCGAAGGCCGCGGGCTGGTCCTCGGCGAACCAGAAGCCCCGCTGCCGGAACCGCGCGAGCTTGGCCGCCTCGCCGACGACGAAGTTGTTGTGCGCGAGGACCTGACGGGTTCTCTGCGTCCCCCGCGCGAAACCGTCGCGAGACGATACCGATTTCATGTTCGTTTCCCTCCGGTTGCGTCGCGTCCTCGAGACGATGCCGAGCTCTCCCGCACACTGGCGGGAACCGGGTCGACGCGCGCCGTGTCGTCGGGCCCGCCGCCGAGGGGCCCGTCGAAGAAGAGCCCCCCGCCGGGCACGACGAGGGGGTCGAGGACCACGGCGACGGGCGGCCGGCGGCGCGTCTCGCCGCGGAACCGCGCCTCGAAGAGGGCCGTGTTCGTCGCCGCCTGGTCGCCGAACCAGACGTCGTCGGGCCGGAAGTCGCCTACGATTTTCCAAAACGCGTCGCGTCCCCTCAACAGACATCATCATCACACACAGCGCCTCGCGGACGTGCGCGAGCGTCTGCACCGCGGCCTCGAGGAGGCCCCGGGCGCCGCGCCGCGCGAGGTAGACGCCCGTGCAGGCCTCGACGTGGAAGTGGGCCTCGCCGCGCGCGACGTCGCGGGAGTGGAGCCCGCCGGCCTGGATCGCGAGGTCCGCGGCCCGGGGGACGCGCAGCGCCGCGACGTCGCGGAAGAGGACGACGTCCGTATCGACCCACCACGCGTCGAGCCCCGCCTCGAGCACCGCGAGCACCGCGACGGGCTTCAATATCGCGATGCCCCCGAAGCCGCGGCTCTGGACGTCGCGCCGCGCCGCGATCTCCGCCTCGTCCTCGACGGGGAGCGCATAGGACGCGACGCCGTGCGCGGCGAGGTCGCGCGCCGCGGCCCCGGAGAGCGCGAAGACGAAGACCTCGGGGCACCGGCTCCGCCGCGCCGAGTACGCCTAGCGACGACGGGTTCGAGAGAGGGAACGGCGAGGAGCGAGGGACGGGAAGAAATTCGTCCTCCGCACCATGTTCAGCGCGAGGCCGACGTGGGGCCCGTTGGCCATGGACACGACGAGGGCCCCGCGGCCTCGGGCCGCGGCCCGGAGCTCGGCGCCGAGGCCTCCGCGCGCGGCCGCGAGGAGCCGGTCGCGCACGCGCCGCGCCCGCGTGCCGTTGCCGCCGGGCGCCGCGCTCAGGCCGACGTCGCGCTCCCAGGCCTCGCGGTCCGCGAGGAACCAGGACTCGTGGCCGCCGCAGTCGCCGTCGGGCGCGGCGCCGCGCCGCAGGCCCGCCGGGCCCGGGCTCGCCGCGAGGTAGGCCTTGGCGCGCCAGACGCCGGGCAGGAACCCGGACAGCACGAACTCGCGCGCCGACGCCGCGCCGCAGTGCGTGAAGGACTCGTAGCTCACGCGCTTGTTCGTCAGCTGCACGCACACGTCGAGCCCGTCGACGGCGCCGCCGACGCGGAAGCCCAGCGGCAGCCAGCCGCCGTCGAGCGCGACGTCGGCGCCGTCCGCGGGGTGCGTGATGCGCACCCAGCACGGCGGGCTGGGCGCACCGTGCCGCAGCAGCGCCGCTGCGACGAGCCATCGCATGGCTGCCCCATGCAAGTTTCCCTTCAAGCGACTTACTCGAGGCTGTTCATGCCGATGAACTCGTCGCGGCGCTCCTGGGTGTAGATGTAGGCCTTGTTCCAGATGTAGCCGACGGAGTTGGACTTGAGCGGGAGGCCGGCGAACTTGATGCCGTACTCGAGGCAGTCCTGGTTGATCTCCGGCGGCTGGTCCGCGTAGCAGCCGATGGCGCCCGTGAGCTCGCCGTTGGGCGTGAAGAGCGGGATGGCGCCCTGCATGCGGATGTAGAGGCACTTCATCTCCGTCGCCATGTAGAGCACGGGCACGCTCAGCCGCATCGTCAGCCGCTTCATCACCGCTTTATCGTCGAAGTCGAGGAGCGCCGCGCCGATCCGCACGGCGGGGAAGGCCAGCGCCAACACCAGCGCCGTCGCGACGAGGACGACCCGAAAAAGGAGGTAGACGCCGATCTGCTGGAGCGGGTCGCGGTCCGTGTGCTTCACGGGGATCGTCCCGAAGGGCACGTTCCGGGAGAAGTCCGCGAAGTGGGCCGCGCCGATGCAGGGGTTCAGCGTCAGCGACCGCTCGATCCAGCTCGGCTCGGGCCGCTCCTTCTGGACGCGCTTCGTGTAGCCGACCTCGGGCATCTTCCGCAGGTACGTCGGCACGCCGTACTGGTCGGTGACGCCGATGGTCAGCGCCGCGCAGCCGAGCTCCATGCGCCGCTCGGCGGCGCCCTGGTAGACCAGATCCACCAAATCCGCGAGCTCCCAGTTCTGCGCGAAGGGGCTCTGGTTCGCCATCTTGAACTTCTCCCACTGCTCGCGCTGCACCTCGCGCTGGCGCTCCTCCTCCGAGTCCGTCTCGCTGAAGCTGTCGGACTCCGACGAGCTCGACGCATTTTTATTGCGGCCGCCCCGGCGCGTCGTTTTGCGCTGCGGGCCCATGCCGGCGCGGCGGCGGGCCGACGACGATGGCTGCCCACTCGTCGAGGTGTGCCAGAAAAAAGGGTGTTACTTGCTACTTAATTGAAGTGCGTGAAGAATTCTTGAACATTTGAGAGAACGCGATGGCGCTCGCGAGCCTCACGCTGGGCTGCCTCGTCGCGCTCGGCGCGCACGCGACCTCCGAAGGCAACATGAACGGGCTCTACCCCTACTCGCCGACGCCCAAGGGCCGCGTCGACCTGCTGCCGAAGGAATACAGGGACTACCCCGGCGAGGTCGAATACTACGACTGGTACAGCCCGCCGATGGAGACGCTCTACAGCCAGGTCTGGTGGAAGCCGCTGGCGCCCACGGAGCTGCCGGCGGCCATGGTCGCCAAGTACAACGGAACGAAGGCGGCCATCGTCGGCTGGGAGATGGACCAGGTCCGCGTCACGCCGCGGGGCGACGTCTCCGTGCCCATCTCCGCGTCGTATAACCACCACTTCACGTCCGTCATCGCCGGCGCCGGCGCGACCTTCGAGAAGATCAAGTTCGACGGCCCGCGCGACCCGCGCGCGGCCGAGTACGGCCTCGTCGAGCGGAGCCACGGCCGCGTCAACTGGGACGAGCCCCAGTACGTCGTCGCGGGCGGCGAGGCGCACCCGTTCTCCAGCGGCAACGGCGGCGAATACCGCAAGACGCAGCACGGGTTCGCGCCCGGGTACGCGCTCGTCGTCGACTCGCCGCGGAGCGTGCAGGTGACGCCGATGCAGATCGACACCTGGAACCGCGACGCGATGGACATCGACGGGCCGCTGCCGCCGCCCTTCGTCGCCGGCCCCGAGCCGCGGGCGTCGCTCGCGCCGCCGGGCGCCGGCCACTCCGGGCTCCTGGAGTGCCCGATGACGACGCGGCTCGGCAAGCGCGTCGACGGCGCCTACGCGCTCGTCGAGTCCTGCGCGTCGCCGATCGTCACGTACCACGAGTGCTTCGAGGCCGCCGCGGCGGTCACGAAGAACGCGACGTTGCGGAACGTCACGGGCGACGACGCGGCGCGGCCGCCGGCCTGCTCCGTGGCGGGCGGCGCGGCCTTCTTCAACGAGCGCGCCGCGTCGACGGCCCGCGGCGCCGTCGTCTGCCCGACGGACCCCAAGCCCTTCGGCCAGGCGACGGGCGCGCTCGTCTACCACGCGACGGCGCAGCAGGAGGACGTCGGCTCCGGCGCGGCGGACTCGTTCGGCGGCGGCGGCAAGAGCTGCGCGCCCTGGCCGGCGACGACGCTCCTCGACCAGGCGAACCCGTCGTGCGACGTCCGCACGTACCGGGGCGGCCAGTGGGCCTGCCACCACATGTGGTCGCTCCTCGACGCGGACCAGGACATCCCCTGGGCCGACGAGCCGCTCGTCTTCCGCATGAAGATCCGCTGGTGGGTCCAGCCCTACGACGCGGCGGTCCACACGCCCGTGCGCCTCGGCGAGGGCGACGGCTCCGTGCTGCTCCTGGGCAGCCCCTGGGAGTACGACATCCCCGAGTGCGGCCTGGGCGTCCCCGGGTGCTCGCTCCACGCCGACGGCGCCACGTGGCTCCACACGGTCCGGGGCAACAGCGTCGGCAAGGAGACGTACGTGACGGCGAACTCGCACTGCCACGCGCCGACGTGCCTCTCGACGGCCGTCTACGCGTGCCCCGAGGGCACGCCGCTCGAGGCCTGCGACGACCGCGTCGGCGAGCTGGTCTGCGAGAACGCGCCGGTCTACGGCGGCGCGGGCGCGCCGAGCCTCGCGGGCACGCGCTTCGACGAGCCGGGCTACATCGCCATCGCGGACTGCATGTGGGGCTCCGCGGACTACGGCCTCGAGGCGCCGCGGAATCTCACGGGCGTCCCGCTCCACGTCGTCAAGGTCGCCAACGCCACGCACGCCCACTACGGCGAGATGTCGGGGACCCAGCCCTGGGTCATGTGAGCCTGCTGCGGTGCTTCACCTTGTGAACTCGCATCTACCAAGGGGAGCTTCACCATATCTAGGCTAGATGCAGTGCCCCTTGCATCTACTCGCCGGGTGCAAGTTTCCTTCAATAACTTCAAGATGGTCCGCTTGAACCAGAAGAAATTGCACGCTCCTCGACCGCCAGCACCGTGGCAGTCGTCGGCGTGCAAGCGCTTCGGGATGTTCGCCGTGCTCTTCGTCGAGGGCGGCATCTGGGTCCTCTGGCTGCTGCTCAACTGCATAGACCTGGTGCTCGTCGCGCTCAGCAAGATCCTGCCGAAATCACCGCCCCCGGGCAAGAACCTGCCGCGCGTCGTCGTCGTCGGCGCGTCCTTCGCGGGCCTCGGCGTCGTGCACGAGCTCGGCCATCACATTGACGAGGTCGACGTGACGCTCGTGGACCGCAAGGACTTCTTCGAGTACGTGCCCGGCGCGTTGCGGTGCCTCGTGGAGCCGGCGCACCTCCGGCGCCTGAGCTGCCCGCTCGCGCCCGCGGGCGCGGCCTTCGTCCGCGGCGAGGTCGTCGCCGTCGCCCACGGCGACGGCGAGGCCGGCGAGCGCACCGTGCGGCTCAAGGGCGGCAAGGGCCTCGACTACGATTTGCTGGTGCTGTGCTCCGGGTCGAGCTACGCGGCGCCGATCCGCGGCGTCGAGACGACGCTCGACGAGCGCCGGCGCAACCTCGAGGCCGCGGCGGCGACGCTCAAGGCGGCGAAGACCGTGGTCATCATGGGCGCGGGCGCCGTCGGCGTCGAGCTCGCGGGCGAGATCCTGACGGTCTACCCCGAGGGCAAGCGCGTGCTGCTCGTGGACATGGCGACGACGATCCTCCCGGGCTTCCACGCGCGGAGCGTCGGCTACTGCAAGCGCTGGCTCGAGGCCCGGGGCGCCGAGCTGCTGTTGGGCGCGCCCCTGCGCCACGTCGCGGAAAAATCGATCACGCTCCACGACGGCACCGAAGTACCGTGCGACGCGCTCTACAAGTGCACGGGCGCGCGGCCCAACGGCGACTTCCTCGCGGGCTCGGCCCTGGGCGACGCCTGCGCGGGGCCCCGGGGCGCCGTCGTCGTCGACGACTCGCTCCGGTGCGCGCCGGACGTCTTCGCCGCGGGCGATCTCTGCTACCACGCGGGCTCCGCGGAGCTCAAGCTCGGCCACACGGCGGAGGTCAACGCCCACTGCGTCGCCACGAACGTGCTCCGCCTCGCCCGCGCCAAGGCCGCGCAGGTCGCGCCGCCGCCGCTCGCGAGCTACCCGCGCGACGTCGTCGGCAACAGCGCGACGCCGAAGATCTTCAACCTGTCCCTGGGCAAGTACGACGCGACGCTGGGCTTCAACGATTTGGTCATCCACGGGCCCCTGGCGGCCCTCGTCAAGTGGCTCCTCGAGTGGACCAAGGTCGCGGCCGCCGCGGACCGGCCCGTCGGCGTCGCCTTCTGGGCCTTCGCGGACTTCGCGTCGAACCTCCTCGGCCGCACGCTCCTGCCGACCGTGCCGCCGCCGGCCCGCGGCAAGCGCACGTCCGCCGTGTCGCTCTGAAAATAGCTTTTTTATGTGCTTCAAGTTGAAGGGAAAGATCAGACTTGTTTTGCCACAACTTTGTGCAAAAGTGAGCCTGGCACGAGCCGCGCCTGCTCATGTCTGCGCGTGGCTATTCGTTGATGTGGGACGACATGGGATCGGATGCAAAGAGGAAGGCCGCCATGCATGCCTGGCCCGGCCTCGGCATCGTCTATCATCCGACGCTCGCCGAAGCCGGCGCCTGCGTAATGCGAGTGATCACTGCGCTGCTCATCGTGCACCAGCGCTGCGGCGGCGTCCTGCGGGCGCGCGCGCCGCGCGCGAACGAAAGGCGTGCGCGCTCGAACGCGCGCGCGCGCGGCCGCGCCGCGCGACCGAACGCGCCTCCCGTCCGCGCAGCGGCCTCGACAAGCTGGAGAACACGGATGGCTTCGCGATGGGCGCGCGCCCGGCGTCCGGACGCGCGCGTGCCAAAGGAAAAAGGTGGCGTCCAGACGCGCCCGCGCGCGAAAGGGAAAAAGGTGGCGCGCCGAAGACCCGGACGCGCCCTCCAGGCGTCATCGCCGAGTACTTCCCCTTTCTCGTGTCCCGTACTTCTTCACCTACCTCGCCGCCGCGGTCGAGATCGTGGGCAGCTTCTGCCTCGCCGTCGGGATCTTCGCGCGGCCTGCGTCGCTTTTGTTGGCCGGCACGATGATGAACGCGCTGGCCTTCCACCTCATGAAGTTCGGCCCGCAGCGGTTTCCTCTGAATCCGGAGAGCCGCGGCGCCTACACCTACGAGCCCTGCCTCGCGTTCCTCGGCGTGACCCTGTACTTCGCGTTCGCGGGGCCGGGCAAGTTCGCGATGCGGCCCCACGGGTTCTGAGGTCGAAGGCTAATCACGAGAAGTGCATGCGTCGCGCGACGGCTCGTTGCAGTTCAAGGTGATGTTGTAGCCCCGATGACGACGATGGCCGCGACCTACATGCTTCTGCTGCCGGCGACGGCGTGGGCGCTCAGCGGCAGCGTCACGCCGGTCGCGCCGGTCACGCCCGTCACGCCGGCCGTCGCGTCCACGGCGACTCGCGTCGGGTCCATTGTCGCGCGCATACAAAACGCCCTCGACGAGGCCTGCGCCACGGAGGCCGCCTCCGCCGGCGCCGCGCCGGCGCCGTTGGCCGTCGGCGCCCTGGCGACGGCGTGCGGCCGGCGCGAGCTCGCGGCGCGCCTGCGCGCGAAGCACTACGCCGTCCTGCGGCTGCCCGGCTTCGACGGCGGGCGGCTCCGGAGCGCCGCCGGGGCGTTGCTCGACGACGACGCCGCGCTGCTCCGCGTCGGCGGCGCGGCGCCCGTGGCGCCGGACCGGCCGGCGGAGTTCGTCGGCGTCTTCGGCGGCGACGGGCCCGGCCGCTTCGCCGAGGGCCGCTACGGCGGCGACGGCCGCGCGCGGCCGCCGGGCCTCGCGGCGGAGGCGGGCCCCGCGCTCGACGAGTCGCGGCGCGTGCTCGGCGCGCTGGGCGCGCTCCTCGCACGCGCCCTGCTCCCCGACGCGGAGGCGCGCGTGGCCGACGACGTGAGCGCCGACGGCGGGCGGCGCGAGGTGTCGACGACGGCGCACCGCCTCTGCCGCTACGCGCCGTCATCGAAGGCCGTCGTCTTCGGCGCGCACACGGACACGTCGTTCTTCACGCTCGTGCCCCTGAGCTCCCCGCCGGGTTTGGAGGTCTTCGACCCGTCGCTGGACGCCTGGGTCCGCCCCGAGGCGGCCGAAGGCGCGGAGGCGACGGACGTGCTGTGCATGCCCGGCGAATTCCTGGAGCTCGCGTCCGCGGGTGCCTTCCGGGCCGTCGTCCACCGCGTCCTCGGCGGGCCGACGAAGCGCGTGTCGACGCCGCTCCTCGTCCGCGGCGACCGGCGCTTCGCGCTGGGCGGAGTGAACGCGCACGACTGCTGGCGCGCGCTGCAGGAGCGCGAGCCCGACCGGGCGGCGGAGGCGATCCGCGGAGCCCCGGCCCACGTCGACGGCGCGTCCTACGTCGCGCCGCACCGCACGCGGGCCGAGGCGGAGACGTTCTACTCGCTCGCGCTCGGCGGCGCCGCGGAGGTCCTCAGCGCGGACCCCCTCGTCGTCCTGCTCCCGGGCTTCGCGTCCGACGCGGACTGCGCCGCCGTGCTCGCGGCGGCGTCGAGGACCGCGTGGCTCGACGACGCCGCGGCGCCCGGCGACCTCGCGCTCCGCGCCGCGGCCGTCGCCGAGCTGCCCCCGGCCCACGCGGAGCGCTGGCGCGTCGCGGCCTACGGCCCGGGCGACGAGCCGCGCGCGGACGCCGCCGGCGGCCGCTTCGCCACGCTCGCGCTCTACCTCGACGACGGCTTCGCCGGCGGCGCGACGGCCTTCCCGGACCTGGGCCTGACCGTGGCGCCGAAGCGGGGCGACGCGATCTTCGTCCGCGACGCGCGGACGCCGCTCCTCCGCGCCGACCGGTTCGCCGTGGCCGCGCACGCGGCGGCCCGCCGCGAGGAGCTGCCCGTGGAGGCCGGCGTCAAGCACGTCCTCACGCGCGGGTTCCACGCCGCCCCGTTCCCCGGCGGGGCGCCCTCTAACGACGGCGATTAGAAGGGGACAGCCCCCCCCCCCCTTCGGGCTCCGGAGCCACCGCGACGCCCCACATCTCGCCACGCACTAACGGCGGCGGTTAACGGAGCGCGCCGCGAGCTCGAGAAAAGCCACCGCGTCAACGCTCACATCTCGTCGTGGACGAAGTTCTGGCGGTGGATCTTCGCCGGGTCGCCGCCGAGGATGTCGACGCCCTCGGCGAGGAGCTCGTTGACCTTGGCCTGCGTCGCCTCGTCGCCGAGGTAGCCCTTGAGCGCGTCGAGGGAGTCGAACTTCATCGTCGTCGCGTAGTCCCACTCGCTCTTGCAGACCTTGCGGTCGAGGCCCGCGAAGCCGGGCACGGCCTCGAGCACGGGCTTGAGCTTGGCGACGAGGCCGTCCATCTTGATGGCCGTCGCCTCGTCGCCGACGTTCATGGACACGACGCGGCAGCAGGTCTTGATGGGGATCTCGCTCATCGGCCGCGCGGACGCGCGGGCGACGGCGACGTGGCGCAGCGGGCGGGCGACGCGCATCATGATTGTTTGTGCGGACGGCGAGAGTGGTGGCGGCGAGGCGAGGAGATGCCACAAGAAGCGGTCCTCAACACGGCTTCACCAATGAGATTGAAGACGTGTTCCCCACGCGACACATCGAGGCGCCCCGATCACACGAAGCAAGACAAATAAAAAAGGGCGCCGCCCGGCTAGAGCATCTTCTCCGTCGCGTCGTCGGGCGCGGCCTTGGCGACCGCGAGGCTCGGCGGCGCCGCGTCGGAGACGCGGACGGCCTCGACCGTCGCGAGCTCGTCGAAGGTCTGGTCCACGGGCCGCGCGTCGGCGAGCTCGACGTCGCAGGCCGCGCCGACGACGGGCGCGAAGTGGCTCGGCGACCGGACGCGGCCCTTGAGGCGCCGCGCGGCGAAGAACGCCGCGACGCCGACGGCCGTGGCCGCGACGGCGGCGAAGAGGATGACGAGCATGAGGAGCTCCGTCTTCGCCGCGGCGATGCCCGAGCCGTCGTCGTCGTCGGCGCCCGCCGCGGCCGCGGCGTCGTCGTCGTGGTGCTTCTGGCGGTAGCGGTCGTAGGCCGCGGCCGCGAGATCCTCGGCGCCGCCGCCGCGGCCCAGGGGCGCGCGCTGGTCGGCGTCGAGGGCGATCTTGGACCGCCCCGCGGGCGCGTAGACGTCGAGGCTGAAGAGGATCATGCGCGCGTGCGCGCCGTCCTGGCCCCGGCCGAGGTAGTTCCGGTTCAGGCGGCCCAGGTCCGCGGGCGCGAGCACGCAGGGCAACCCCCCGCCCTTGCCGCCGTCGTCGCCCGCCTCGTTCGCGCACGCGCCGTCCCAGGGCTCCCGGTCCGGGAGATGGACGCCGAGGGT